GTATATGTTCATCATCACGAGTGACAGTGGTGAAATCATAGCCAAGCAAGCAGATTAGGTTTAAGGCTACACTCAGGACAATAATCTAGTGAATTAAAGGATTGGTTCATGAATTTGTTGACTTAGTAATTGTGAGTTCAAGCCCTGTACTGGGTAAGCCAATACAGACTTGGATCAGCGTAAATGATCTGAACAATAACTGAGCAGTACTAAATAACAACTAGAAGAGATATTCCTAGACATGCTCAGTAAGACAAGAACAATCTACTCCATTAGATTTAATAAGGGTATCAGTTTGAATTTCTCTGAAGTTTATCCAGATTGACAAATACGTGATGAAAGCCAGAGGGCACAATAACCCAAAAGTTGTGATAGTAAAAGCAATGGGGACAATGAGCCACTTGTAAATAATTTAAATAACAAGGAACATTATTTTTTAAGCATTGCAATCATAAAAGTATGCAATTAAAAATTTGAACCCACCAAAATAAGGACTGTTTCCTGTTTGAGCCATGGCAAAAAGTGTAAAATGAATAAACAGGGTGGTCTTCATAAGCTTGTTGAGTCAGAAAATTTCCTACCTATAAAAGTTCCTCTTCTATTAGGCACTTAGTAGTGATTTAAATTTTATTAAGATCGTTGAAACTATTTATTTTTTAAATTCTTTTGCATAAACCTAATCTCCTGTATGACATATTTCTTAAAAATGTAAAATCAACTTCTATACAGAAGTTATTTTAGAATACTTTATAAGTTGGTATATATTACTTTTCATGTACATCTTAAACAGAGGGATAAATATTTCCTTGAGAGTATTTCAGCTCTTATTGAGACAGACATTTTTCATTAATATTTAATATGTAAATACATTTATATTCAAATAAATCAGCAATATTGGATTTTAAATATTCATATATTTTTTCACAGTTCATCAGCTTATTGGTATGTTTGTGTATATAGGTTGCTGAAGGAAAATATTTTAATTTTATTAAATAAGAGTTTGAGACTTTAATGACCACAACAGATAAGTGAATGAAAAAATTGTGGTAATCAGAAATTACAATAAATATTCAACTCAAAGACCTTGAAATATGGCAATGAATCATTGTAAACTATCACAAACATCAGTTACAACATTCTCTATCTCCTATTTAAATTCTATATTTACATTAGCAATTCTGCATATGGAATAATTAAAACTAGTCAAGTATTTATAGATGATATTTGCATGTTATTGGGTTACCCCGAAAGTTATTTTTGATATCAACTTTATTGGAAAACATATTTACAATTTTGTTGCCCTTCTGCCATTTTTCTGCAACTTTATAATTCCAACCTTTCTAAGCAATGAATTGATCCAGTTTTTCAGGAAATGAAATTCTTTTTCAATTAGTGAATTCTGAAAAGACAAGAATAAATACTTTCTGAAAATGCAATATTTGTTTAATGTGGTAAATGAGTGAAAACTTCCCAATAAAACTTAAACAATTTTTGCTTCATCATTAATGATGAGACAAAAATTGTTTTAGTTTTATTGGGAAGTTTTCACTCATTTACCATATTAAACATACAGAATAGTTTTATTTTTAGAGTATGTTGATCCTTTCTGCTAATTCCAGTTTTTTTTTTTTTATTGCTGCTTTCAGGGGCAGCTAGTCATCAAGATGTCTTTCAAATACTATCATAAATTTGTACAGTCTAAACTTTGATACAATTAGTGGTGGTTTATTTTGCTTTCACAATATCTTGCATTCCATAGTTGTAAAGTATCCACTTTTATTTGTCAGTGTTTCAAAAACTACATTTCCAGGACATTTAATGTAGTAAATTACACACAAATAGGAATATGTTCCATTGATTATTCTCAATGTTTTGATTTGATCACTATCAACTCTAACTGGTTTACCTAATCATAGAACATTATTCGGTAAATTTATGATACAAAACTTCAAAAACATTTGACAAATTCTGTCATTCACGGTACTTTCTCTTTAAGCTTCACAAATCTGTTTCTTTCATTTGGGTGGTACTTTTATCTTCAAAAAATAAAATAAAACCATTAAAAGGCAACAATTTGAATTAGGTCAGTTAAAAGTAAATGTACCTGTCATCAGACAAAAATAAATTTTCAAGATATTGTCTCACCAATTTGTATTATATGATGTTTGTTCACAATAATGAAAAGTTTAGTTTGCATTTACAGTGAAGCACAAAACTATATTTATGTTAAAAGCATTTTCACTCTCACATCATGTGTGATGTCATGAACTGCAATGAGATATTTGCTTCCTGTGTTTCATATGCACGAATTTATCATTGCATAGCAAACTTTGATACAAACAAAACAAACTATCATTGTTGGAATTTCTGCATAACCATTCTAAAACAAAAATTACCATCTTTGTTATATAATTTATTATTTAATTTATTGTAATGTACTTGTAATCTCTGATAGCTTATGTAAGCTGAAAGCTTAGACAGGATTAACAATAAAAACATGTATCAACATGGTGATTTTCTTTCGTGTTTCAGTGATAATGCTAAAAAGCTTATTCAACAATAGGAAAGGAATTTACTTAAAATAGACAAAGCTTGTCTATATTATTTAATGAAACATGCATTAATGAAAAAATGCTAAATACACACACACAAAAAATATATATATATATATATATATATATATATATAAAAACAAAAAAAAATTGTTTCAATATTTGAAAAGTGAATTTTATTAAATGAAATTGATAGTGCCATGAAAATAATTTTACCCCTTACAGAATATCTCATTTCTAAATTTCATCAAACAAGTTCTTAATTTAGTGCAATAATTCAAGTGTTGGGGTTTGAAAGAATTACCCTTGTTTCAAATAGACAATCTGAGACAACTATTCTTTTGGGGAGAAAAATCTACCTTTGACATCCTTATTCCAACCATCTCCTTTATTCAAGAAATTTCCTTCCACCCTTTAAGTGCAAGTATTTCATTGAAGATTTAATAAGTGTAGTTGAAATAAGGACAACCTGGATGGATTTTTCACAAAAAATGAATTAGCATCCCAGTTCAACTCTTTGAAAATCAAGGGTATATACTTTAACAGTATAACAATTTTGGAAACATGAATCATTGAAAATATTAATAAAAACATTAATATGAAGTGCTAACCAAACTTAGTTTTTTTTTTGTCAAATTATCACTTCAAGAGACTAAGTTTAATTTTATGGTCAGTTTATTTAAAACATTTGGGTAGCACCTCATATTTTTCCAGTATGATAAATATTAGTTACTTATCTCTAAAATTAACTACTATAAATTTCTATTATCACTTATAAAAAATATTGGATGAAATATCATGTTGTACATATATATTTTAATATTACAAATTTCTTTGGTTTTACTTTTATTATCTAAAATGGCATGAATATTATCTGAACTAAATGATGCTTATGTAAAATTTAATTTCCATATCATTTAACAACATTCCAGTTATTTTTCAGCTCGTTCCATCAGACTCTTCCTGCTTGCTTTCCTGGTGCTGGTCATCTTCACAGTGTTACAATGTATCGACATACTTGGTGTAATGTCTACTATATCTTACCTATTCAAAGTACGTAAAGATAGTCATGTACTCTGCCCAGAGTTTACAGGTGGACTAGGCAACTTAATGTTTCAATATGCATCTGCTCTTGGCATTGCACGCTTGAAGAATATGACAGTTCTGATTGATCAAGAAAATGACTTGAACCACTTATTCAATTTATCAGCTGTTGTGCTACCGCATGTTGCATGCTGGTTCCTTACTAAACAAACAGATGTTCGGGCAAATGCATTCGACACAGAGACTCTGCAGTTCCCTGCTGATTGTAACTACCAACTCAAAGGATATTTCCAATCATGGAGATATTTTAATCACATAGAACCAGAATTACGGCAGATATTTCAGTTTCCAGAAGATATAAGAGCAGAATCCCAGAACATTTTAAATGAAGCCATAAAAAGTCATGAAAAACAAACAGGAAATAAAGCCCTCACATACATAGGTGTGCACATTCGTCGAGGAGACATCTTAGAGAGTAACTTTCAGAATTATGGCTACAATGTGGCTTCCCTTGACTACATACGAAAAGCCATGCAGTACTTTAATGCTAGATACCATCGAATCCTCTATATTGTCTGTTCAAATGACATGGGTTGGTCAAAAAAGTACCTTACTGGAACCAATATCTACTTTGTAGAGGGTCATGAAAGAGAAGTTGATATGGCTTTATTGGCAAGTTGTAATCACACAGTTATGACTGTTGGCACATTTGGCTGGTGGGCTGCTTGGTTAGCTAATGGAGAAGTAACCCATTACAGGTACCCAGCTGCTCGCGGATCACAGCTACAAAAGGCCTTCAGCAAAGACATGACTGACTATTTCTATCCACATTGGATTCCAATGTTGTAAAAATTTGTAAATTCACCTTTTCAGGAATAAAAATAACTGATGACAAAATATTTTTTTCAAATGTTTTATTTCATGTATGATTCAATCTAAATTTGCTTTCTGTTGAAACTTACAAAATAACTAAGGTTTTTCAATTATCAAGGAGTTATTTTATTCTAAATAAGCCACCAAATAGTAAGTCGTCTTTAATTTAATTGTTCAGTTCTGTAGGGAATTGTCAAAAGTTAAAAAATACAATAGACTTTGAGAAAGAGGGTACTAAATAACAAAACTGTCCCCATAGGCTGCATTTTGAATAGTGATCTTTTCTATAGGCTTCCATTGTAAGAAATTCCTACAATCATAAATTTGACATTACATTTTGTTCTGAAATGACTAAATTGTTGAAAAATGAAAGACATCATAAAAAATAGTTTCATGTATATTTTATTATCTATTTGAGTGGTTTTTCAATCTAAAATACCTAGCAGACATGCAAGTTGTCTTTAAATTTTATTAGATTTAACATAAGCCCTGAAAACAAAAGTCTTTGTGAAGTTTTTCTTGATGCAGCAACTATTGTAGTTGACATTTATAAACCAAAAAAGCCGGGGTCCCTGTATACTTTCTAGCCATCTGCATTCCATCAGGAGTGGGGTCAGAGAAAGCTAATTTGCTTTGTTCAACAGGAACACCATATTCAAACCAATATCTGAAAAATAATTGCATAAAATTGAGAAGAGAGGAAAACTTTTTAAAATTAGTGTTTTTTTAAATTTTTCTTAACCGTTTCAAAGCCAGAAAAGGGAAAAATGTTCATAATATTACCTAACCATCACCACATGCAAATTAAAAAAAAAAAATTAATAAAAATGTACACATTTTAAATGGTTTAATTTTAACATCCATTTGCCCATTTAATTTTTCCAATGGTAAGCAGTGTCTGGCGATTACACAAGTTTAATGCTACTTTTCCTTCTATATAAACCAAAATGTGTAAGGAAAAAAAATTCAGTATAAACTGACTCTAAAATAAAAAAACATGAATTTTCTTTTGAATTTTATTTGTTTAAGTATCCCAAATGAAAAAAATTTTATGTTACGTTGAGAAGGATAAAAAAAGAAGTTGATAATAACTTGAAAAATTTACTCAAATTCTGTAGTTAGAATTGTTGACACTCAACAATTATATCCTTATTTAGGCCAATATTCAATGGTAGAAATAAATTTATGAAGTGTTTTTAAATGTTGCATAAACTTAATTTAAACATTTTCAGAGTCTTATACAGCTTCAGCAAAGTATACACAAGTTACATTGTCAAATTAAAAGAAAATTTTCAAATATATTGAACTTTGGGCAGTGTACTAGTCTGATATGGTTACTTTAAATAGGTATCCCAAAATAAAATTTTATTTTCAATATATCTAAACTTTTAATGTAGACATAGAAAACAAAATGGTACCAAATTTATCTTGGTAGCTCAATTAGCAACCATGTTATGACCATTCAAAGTCTGTCAGAAAATTATATATTATAAATGTAATGTCATATAGGTAGTATTGAAATAAAAGTAGGTTAATACTAATGGAATTAATAATTATTAGATCAGACCAGCCATAAATGAAAAAAAAAAAATGACACAGAAAGGAAAATTTGACTGCTCATATAAGTTTCATTTAATGCCTTGCAACTTTATGCTAGGATTTATAAATACAACAGATGAAACTAATTTGTTTTTCAGTAGTATATCAATAAAAAATGAAACAAAAAACAATACAGCTATAAGTGCAACTTGACAGTGGGACAAAAACAGAACATACTATCCTAAACTTGGTATAAAAATGTACCCATTAGAGGTACCTTATACCATATATTTGCATCTGTCAACAAATGGCATTTCTGTTTGCATTTTCTCAGTTGCATTTCATTAAATTTTGTGACTTTATGCAAGACAACCCTTGGACTGATATTTTTAATCTTCCAATCACTGAGGTTCCTTCTTGGATTAAAGCCGACATCAATGCTTTTGTACCTTTTCAGATATACCAGGTGAAACCACAATCTCTCCTAGGTTCATGCTGTCATCTTCAGCTGCTATATGATAGTTTCAATCATAACAAGCACCTCTTTGTGTCCTTAAACAGTCTAAGTCTTTATTTGCTGACAGAATGAGGCTTCATATAGCAAGTTTGGTTCTCGTGACTACTAGCAGCTCTGTAATAGTGTGTTAAATACAAACAAATATTCTATCTCACTACTTTTCACTCAATTGGAGACCTTAGCATCTGCTGATAAAGGAGATTGCTTTGCTTGTAAATTCTCTTCTAATTCTACTCTTGACTCATCTGGAGTATCTTTGCTCAACTTTCCATTAGAAACAAGTCTCTTAAGTGATTTAGATATAGTCCATATTATATTCTATCATCTCTAAACTGGATCTCCACAAAGCATGTGGATTCGATGGTATCTCTGCAAGAATCCTTAAGAAATGTACTCCTGAACTCTACAATAAATAACTTGCTGCTTTCAGCTTTTCTTCTTGTTGGAAATCCTCTTTTGTAGTTCCAGTCTTTAAGAACTCCGGTGAACCATCTGATCCTTCTACATCTTTTTGGCAAAGTACTAGAGTCTCTAATCAACTCTGAATTGGTTAAGCATCTCATCACACAAGTTTTTTCCAGAAGTAATATGGTTTTCACTTCTCTAATCAACTGCTAATGTATTAATGATTATTGCTGAAAGATTATCAAGCTTTAGATAAGAACGGTGTAGTTTGGGATGTTGCTTTAAATAGGGTTTAGCATGCTGTTCTTCACAAGTCGAAAGGTTATGGTATTTCTGGACAAATATTTGAATGGATTCAATCTTTATTAAATCACAAATGGATGTTGTCTATCCTTGGAACTATGTTTTTCCTAATTTTCATCAACGACCTTCATCAGTTCTCAACTCGGTATCTATACTGATGACACAGCTATTTACTTATTTGTCTTGACAGTAAGTCTGATCAGTTTGATGGGCGAACATTTTCTGCTGACATGAAGTGGAAAGATTATATGGAATCAATAGATAAGGTCTGTTGCTAGGAAATTTAGTTCACTGTTGCGCAATACAACTTTTCTCACCAGAATCTATCTTACACATTTATACGTCTAACCCATGCATAGAATGTTGTTGGCACATCTGGTTGGTGCTTTTATGTATTTAGAGATATTTGATAAAATCCAAAGAATCTACAACATTGTTAGTCCTAATCTGGCATCTCAGCTTCAGAAACCACATTGAAAGTCTGTTATTGTTGATTTCCAAAAATTAAATTGCTCTTTTACTCATCATTCTTTCTAGGGTTTTGCAAAGACAGCTTGTTAGCACAATTGGTCAATGATCTTGGGGGGTGTAAGTTATCTTTTCAGTTTTTTCAAGTCAGGGTTGTTTCCAACTGATTTGGGAATAGGAATTATTGTTTCCATATATCTGGGATACTTTCATTTATCCATGTTATTGAAGGCACTTAACAGGTAGTTTAGTGATTTGTTTGGTAACTGTTTTAGAAATTCATAATGAATTTCATCAAGTCCAACAACTGTGTTGTGAAAGGTTTGATTGAGTTTTAGTTTATTCTTCAGAATTATTTGATTGGAAGTTTACTTTTATTTTCTAGAAGCTGTGGGTTGTTTGCTAAATTTTCATAGAGTTTCTCTGCATTTTTTGATGGCTTCTTTACAATCTTCATTGAACCAGGGACTGTTTTGTTTGTTTGAGATTGTGCTTTCTGCTGCTATGTTTTTTGAGAAATGGATATTTGGAGGAGCTGTTTCGTATGAGTTTTTGATTACAGTTTTTTAAATTCCATCCTGTTTGCCTTTTTTAAAATTCCAATACAAGTTTTTTTTCTTTTTTATTTTCTTCTATATTAGAAAAAAAAATCTACTCAAAATATAAAATGACAACCAGGATGGAAGTTTTTTTTTATAGATTGGCATCGGTATTGCTTACAGCTCTGTGTTGAAACACCAGTTCTCATCCAGTTACCAAAGTTAAGCAATATTGAATCTGGTCAGTACTCAGATCAGTGATGACCACTGGGGAATACCTGGTGTAACAGGGTACTGGCTCTAGTTTGACGTTTAGTTGCATGAGAATGCAAAATGGTGATTTGAGATGATTAGAAATAAATCATGAAAACAATCCCAAGGAATATCTTGAATAATTAGGAGGAAAACAGTAAATGGAGAATTAAAATTACATCAAATTTAGAAAATGAAGTTGATGTGGGAATCAAAGAGAGTTGAACCCTGAACAAATTTGATGAAAAGTCATTAACTTATGAATTTCTCAGAGGTGGTCTTCTTTCCCTAAGAAGTAAAAATATTTGCTTGGATTTCCAAGCTGAAATGTGATCCAAAAGGGATAAATTCTTAATACTATGATGCTAAGGCATAAGGTAATTCTCAGCAAAAGTTGGAGGAATGTTTTTGCTGGAGCCATGTGTTTTTTGGGATGATAGATAAGGGGTTAATCCAGATGATGGTGACAATCTTGCACACATGTGTGTATGTGTTAAAATGGGATGCCCAGGAGAGATTGCTTATAAAACCAATTTGGCTTCAAGAGTCACCGAAAGATCTCAGGACAAGATATGCTAAAAAAATCTTTTGCTCAAAGACAAGCACTCAGGCATTCTGTGGACAGAGTAGACATACAGATACAAAAGGAACAGGATTTTTGCTATGAGGTGCAAGAACAGGCTACTACAATGAGGAGAGAATTGAAGAGAAGTGAAAAAAAAAAAAAACAAACCAGAGACTCAAAAGTACTCAACTCACCATTTTGCTACCTAGATGTGTAGATGATGGGAGACACAACAAAACACTAAGCAATTACCATATAAAAAAAACAAACAAAACACAAAAAACTGATCCATTTCAACAAGTGTGAGATAGACCAGCCGACAAAAATGTGTACCGATATTTAGCTTGCTAGGCACAACAGAACCATGTACGACTGTCCACACACACTTTACACCTGGCAGCTAGAGTGCGTTTGGTCAGTGTCTATTCAGGTTCCTTTTCAGTGGCCAGAAGCAATCTGGTCACAACTGATTCTGTGAGCAAGCTCAAGTCCACTTACAATTGCTGTTTTTACAGGTGCTGTAAGCTATACAACAGGACTAGCAAGCTGGTGATAGGCACAATCTCCCTGCTTATACTAATAGAAGACCACAATATGTAAGAGATGCTTCTGGTCTAACAAGCTGCAAGACCTACTTGGAGTTTGGTAAGAGAATGGGTGGCTTCTGAATCAATGTTTTCCATTTTTTTCCTCTTTGGTTTGTATACTTGAATCCAAATAATGTTGTGGTTGTTAAAATCACACATTAAAATAAGCAGCTTTGGTATTTGTTGGATTAGGTTGGTTAGTTTCACTGATAGGGCCATTTGGTAGAATGTAAACTGAACAGATATTTATCTTATTATTTTGGCAGCTATTGCTTAAACATTGGTGTGGATGTTTATTTTACTCTAAGCTACACTGTTTCTGATTAGGATTGATATGCTTCCAGAGGTCCTGTTTGTAATTATATTTTTTGTAATTTTTTTTATATTTATGGTGTCTTTATTTTTTAGGAAGGTCTCTTGCCGACTTTTAATGGCAGGGCTAAATGAGGTAATTAACAACTTCTCTTAAGGTGTTTTAGTTTATGGTAGATGTTTGTTTAGTCCGTTTCTGGTTTGTGAATTCTTTTACTTCTGACTGAACATATGATCTTGTCTATGGGTTGATTTTTCCTTTGTTTCTCAGTTTTTTGTGTCGTGATTGGTATGTTTTTTTTCTTTTTTTGGTTCTTCTGCTTCTAGGGCTTCTAATCAGTTTTGGGTTGGTATTTAATTTGGGGACTTTGATGATCTGTTTAGGGGATTTTGGGGTATCTTGAGGAGGCTCTCCTGATTAGAATGTTGATGATGGCATCATTTACTCTTTTTGGATGAAATTTACTATAGGGAAAATTTCCAGTTAGAAGGTTTGTTCAATTTGTTTTATAAGAGCCTGTAAATCTTTCAGAAGAGCTGTCATTTCTTCTGGTTTAATTTTTCATAGTCAATATTTTGATTACACTTTTGGCATTCTTGGTGTTGGCATTTTTATGGTGGAATAGGACCAAGATGGGAAAATGGCCTCCTCAATCTTTCATACCTCTGTGAAAGAGATACCCTGAGTATGTTTTATTTTCAATATTTCTTTCTCCCATTTCCAATCTACAAAAGACCATTGCAGTTCACACTTCCACATGTAGATTCCACATGGTCAGAAACATCCACTCCACACTGTTTGCATACTAGGTTCTTTTGCACCATGTTTCATAATTCTGAAATTTCTGATAGATATGTCGTCAAAGTGGGTTGAGTATGTATTGATATTCATTATCATGTAGCCAATTTTGAGTCTGTGTGAGAGTTTTTCAAAGTATTTTAAGTGTTGGTTTTTATAATTTGACCACTTTTTTTTTTTTTCTACTATTGAAATTCTTTTGACTTCTGATATTTTTTGGCCTTTTAGGTTATTTTTAATTCCTTCCAGCATGCAACCAGTCAGTTCTGAATTTTTTCTGGGTGTGTTGAGGAATATATGCGAGTATGCCTTGATTTTCAAATTGAGAGTGGTCATTTTTAAAAGCAGCTCTGTGTAACTCCTTTTTGCAACTTCCACAATTAAAGTGTTATTTTTTCAGATTCTGGTGTCATTAATTGAAAGAAGCTTTTTTTATCACTAAAATGGAACAGCTTTATAACAAGTTTTTTTTCTTCTATAGATTCCAGGACTGTAAGGCTTGAAAAAGGAGCAGATGTTTTTTCGGTGTTATTGTCTTTGGGTAAAGTCATTTGGTATATTAGTGAGGGACAATGAAATTGATTTTAAAGCTTCCATAACAGTGCTACCTCCCACAACAGAGTCCAACAAGGGAAACCCACTCACCCTGGCATGATAGAGCTACAGTTAATATACTCATATTGAGAGAGAGAGAGAGAGTTTTAGGTACATGTATGTCATGAGTTTCTACACCCATGTATGTAGTTGCTCAGTGAACTAGTCAGGATTGTCAAAGTCTTTTGCCTCGATACAATTGACCCTACAGCCACCACCTTCTGGCTCATTTTAGTTTTGATAGGAGAGGGCAGTGGAAAGATTTTAACGAACCCGACTGAGGGCTTTAAATGACTAGCCAATTAATTGAATCAGGCCTCTCCAACTGCTTGTCTAGCCAACTAAGAGCCACAGTAGTGTAATTGGATTTTCAATGTTGCCCGACAACCACCAGGAACCTGTCCTCAGATATTAAAGGGCACCACCATCAGTGAATAGGTGATCTCAGATGGTATATTCTACAGCCCTAACTGACAAGCTGGAGAGAAAGATTTATACAAATTTTATTCTCAATACAATTAAATCTGAAAGACTAATATCATTACTTCAGTTATCCCAAACCTGTTTATAGTTAATGAAAAAGAAAATTTCAATGGTTAAAAAGAATAGTAATCTAAAAATATAAAGGAATAATTCCTAGCCTATTTCTGTCATGGTAGTTCATTGATTCAATCACAAATGACAAATTTCTGCTGCAGTTAATGAACTAAAAAAGCAATAATTTAAAATTAATAAATTTCATATTTTTTTATAAAGTTCTTTACAACAAATGTTATTTGTTCCAATCTTTTCTATTTTCCTTCACTTAATGTTATCAGCTGGTTATTGTTATGTAAAAAAAGCTGTCTCAAAGTGACCACAAAAAAGCATTTCCTCTATATAAAATTCTATTGTCCACTTGAAAAGCAAATCATATCAGTAATTGAAATAAACTATGTAATAAAAATTCTAAATCTATACTGAATTACTGAAGACAAAAGGAGCTGAAATATTTATATTATTATCTTTAATTTTGTGGAAAGATAAAGTATTCCTTTTGAATCCAGTTTTAAGCCATGTTGTGTGCTAAAGTTTCCAGTTCAACCCACTTCTCAAAATGATTAATTAGATTTTGTTTTTGGAACCCCTTCTTAGTCAAGATGAGAACTTTTTAGCACCCACTCATAGAGTGATTCACTTACATACACAAACCAAGAGTATGTAAAAACTGATTTTTTAAGCAAAACCTTACAAATCTAACAGTTTACATCTTGTGTACATGTTAATTAACAAATGCATTAAGTATTTCAATGTTAGTTCAGATTCAACAATATCTCACAATATGTTCACAAGGTCGATGGTTGAAGCTATCTTATGTATTTATCTTATTGTCTATATTTTAAACAAATTATTAATGTAAAACAATAATTGAATCATTTTAGATTTGAAGAAAATTTTCACAAACCGAACACAATCAAGCATTTTGCTGGCTACACCCTTCCTCCTACTTGGGCCATAAACCCAGATCTTGCTAATTCCTATAGCTGCAGGCTCAGGTTCAGCTTGACAACACCAGGGACGTCGTCCAACACACACAGCTGTTGAATTACAGGGAATCACACGATAACCCTAAAAAAAAAAAAAAAAAAAAAAACTTTTATATACTCAGAATGGATTGGTGTTTTACAAGTTCTTAGGACTTAAAACCACAAATGATATTAGGTAATAATTCTACTTAGAATACCAAGCAAAATGATGTTATATATATAATCAATTCTTTATTTTCAACACATAAAAAGGAAGTAGTTCACAAAATTTGAATGAATAAAAATTTTTGTTAATTGAAAATTCTTCCAAATTAAAATGTACCAGACATAATAAATCAAATTTTAATTTAATTATCTCTTATTGGAAATATATATCATAGTGACTACTATTCTACTCTCACTGCCACTACTCCTAACACAACCTATAAAAAGGTGTAGTCTTTATCTTAGAAGAGTTCCATTAACAACTTAGCTACGTTCTATGTTGAATAAAGTTAAATGCTTTCTTCTTAGCTCACAATTTATTTAACAAACTATGGAAAGATATCTAAAACACTGTTGTTTTGAGGTGAACCCTAATGTGAGTGATGCTGCAGACGAATGGCGCCATTGGTTTAAAGCTTTCAGTAACTTTAACTATCAACTCTGAAGGTACAACCAGATTACATGTACTTACTAACTTTCTGCCCTTGGCTACTTACAAACATGTTAAAGAATCAACCTCTTCTTAGACAAAGGGATTGTGGAACCTAGTTTCTCTCCTTGGTTACTGATGGTTAAAATCACAAGAAATGCTTAGTGGTCAACTATTCTCAAACCATTAATAGAGTTACTATTTTAGATGCTTATCATCTATCTAACATCAATGATTTAATAGAAAAGATATCTTAAGGTCCAAGTGTTTAGTTTGGTTGGTCTGTGCAACGTCTACCACCAAATCTGGATAAAAGAACAAGATAAAACTTTTACAGCTTTTGAAGCAAATGGCAGTACTTTATCAGTTCTGTTGAGCCCCTTTCAGGGTTAAAAAATGGGGTTGTGGTTTTTTAAAGGGTTATTGACCAAATAATTAGGGATAAAAACAACCTTCTGGATTATACCATTTCAGGTGGTATGGTAAAACCTGATCAAGAATGTTTGCAACCCCTCCTAAATTTATCTGTTCCAACTAACAAAGCTTCTTTATGCCGTGCAATCAGTTTCTTTCCCCATTACCCATACCAATTTTCACCGAAAATACATCCACTAGTAATAATTTGAAAATTTCCACTAGAACAATCTGCTGTTGATACTTTTAAAAATATTAAGATTTCGTAAACGCTGTTGTCTTTACCATTGAAAATAATATACCTTTTGTTGTTGAAACTGACGCCACAGAACAAGCTATTGCTACAAAACTCAGCCAAAATGGCAAACCCATAGCCTTTTTTCTAGGACATTAACAGTCACTGAACGTAAACATTCATCTATTGAAAAAAGGCATACACTATTGTAGTCTTTGCATCAGTGGCAACATTATTTGCTGAGAAAGCATTTTCAACTAATAATGGATCAAAAATCTGTATCATTTATGTCCGACAGAAGAGCAGTAAAAATAAAAAATGAAAAGATTGCAAGATGACAACTCAAACTTTCGTGCTATTCTTATATCATTTATCTTTCAGGGAAGCAAAACTATACATTATCTAGATCACACTGCGCAGCCACTAATCTGAACAAATTAGCAGAGATTCATGATTCCTTGTGTCACCCTGGAATAACACATATGGTCCATTTTGTACAAAGTAATCATCCTTATTCAATGGAAGACATAAAAAGAATGACAAAAACCTGTCTTTTATTTCAAGGATGAAATTCACGTAATAAAGGCTATGCTGCCCCTTCAGAAACTTAACATTGACTTTAACACCCCCCCCCCCAAACAAATAATAAAAAATTGGAATATATTAACTGTAGTTGACGATTTTAGCAGATTTCCATTTGCATTTCCCCGAAAGGACTTGACCTCTTAAACAGTTATTGACTGTTTGCAAAATATTTTCTGCCTATTTGGAATAACGCCGTATATTTATTCTGACAGAGGACATTCATTTCTTTCTAAAGAACTCACCACATTTTTGAACATTGCAAGGTGTGGCTAAGAGTCATTCAACTATTTATAACCTGCATGAGAATGGTCTTGTAGAACATTACAATGGGATAATTTGACAAACTATATCTTTGTTTGCAAGGTCTCCAGGCTCTTCATTGCACCCGGAGCATGCTGTGTACAGCTAATAATGAAACACCACCACAAGAGAATGTTTCATCACCAAAAAAGGACAGCAGATGGACATATACTCCTTTCATGATTGTGTTTCAACCTGGAAGTGTTTTGATGAGACATCATATGCACCAAAGTTTGAACCGCTGGTAGACAAGGTTGAGTTACTCCAGTCTAACCTGAATTATGCACACGTACGCCCACAAAATGGATATAAAACTACAGTTACACTAAGAGACAATGCATTTAAAACAAGGCCCAAATTTAAAGAAAAAAATGTTCAATTCCAACCTTTGTAATTGATTCAGCAATACAACAACCATCAACACGTTTTTCCTCAGAAATGTACAGAAAAACCTAAAATATCAAAACAATTCCTGCAAGTTTTAAGAAACAAGTGGAAAGACAAAGGTTTTGCAAATATCAAAATCATTTCAAATAATTCTGGATAGTACATGAGTATAGCATGAATTATTTTAATTTTAGTTAATATTCAAATATAAAATAAACACCAAACATTGAGGAAGAGTGTGATTGCAAAATTTTCAAAGCTGTTACTATTCTCATATTTGGTAAAATTTAATAATGGGAAGGATATTACATTACTAAAAGTTTCTTTTAGAATGTAAGTTCAACTGATACAAATATGTTTTTTTTTCTTTCATGTTGCATCATCTATGTTTTGCTCTTTCATTACTCTCTAAAATATTTTTAAACTTAGCTAAAATTAAATCAGTAAATTGCAATTTAATCTACACTGACAGGTTATTAAATTAGTTAAAACACTTACTTTGTAATTGTGACAGAAAGACAGTGTAGAATCAGGGAAACCAAGTTCCTGGCTCATCATTCTATTAATTTCTTCCACCTACAAAAATAGATAAAAAAACTTCACTGATTAAACTAAATAAACTTATTTCCTACCATTTCATATATAACTTAAAAGAATTCTTTCAAATGTTTAAAAAATCGACTGAATGTTTACCTTGAATTTTGTCACAAATTTTTATATTTGGCATGTGATTGGTTGGTTGTTTAGCAGCATATCAAGTGCCATATGTTATTTAATGCCAAAATCTAAATATTTTGTATGCAATTTTATATATATTTTTTTTTAATAATGGTTTTTAGCAATATAAGTCTTAATAATTAACCCATAATGGGAGGATAAAGTGGTGGATTTATGCTTTTCCCAAGGGTATTTGCACGTAAGAGAATAACAAACCCAACTGGAATTAGAATACAGCTCTGATTAACAATTCTGAGCCATTATCCACCCATACATCAAAGTTTGCAGCACCTGGTATTCCCATACTAAGTATTGACAAGACTCAATGTTGCTTAACTTCAGTGATCATATGGAGAACCAGTGTTTCAACATGATGTGATCATAATCCAGTTAGTATCTGTGTTAAGAAAATTATAATAAAACTGTTCAAAGTTCAGTGTTTTTGTTTCTAGTACTTTTAACTGTTTTTAATCTTTATGAAGAACTTAGAGTCATGAAACTTACATGCTATTCCATGTGCTGCGAGTAGTAGATTGAAATTAAATTGATTTAAGCTGTATTCTGATTTATCAAACAATGAAGTCTCAACTTTAATCAAAACATCCTTCAGTGGTTCAGGTTGAGTAAGGATTATATACACAAAAAGATTTTTAGGATTTATTTTGAAATACAACAAAACTGCTGCATTCAACATTATATTTCCAACAAGTTTTATTTATGGTATATACTTTGAAGGAGAGGGAGCAAAAATCTATTGAAATATTAATAGGCTTTGCAGAGTCTTGAAGCAACCCAATATATTTCTAACAGACCTAGCAAACCATGGAACATGGAAGAGAGAAAAATTGTCTGCTTTACATTCATGTATATTTGGGACATATTGTGTGTGTTGATTAAAAGTCACTGTTCATTAAAGAATTGATCACATAACTACCGGCAGTGGTTCCAATAAAACCAGGAACAACCTAAAAAGCATTTCAGCATCGTTTTCACTTAATCATAGGTACCTCCAAAAATTTGCTAAATGATGAAAAAAAGAAAAAGAAAAAAAATATGCACAAAACAGTAAAAACACTTTATCTTCAAAACATTTGTGTTGTTATAAAGATGAAAGATCAAAGCATTTTTTTTATGCAAAAATTGATTTTTTTTCCTTTTTAAAACATTGGAAATTTTGGTTAAAAATCTTATTTTTCTGATATCAACACAGACCCATAAATTTGTATGGGAAATTTGAGTGTCTTTTTTGCAGTGAAAAACAGATTTGGAAATTCTTGCAAAAATCAGATTGTCAGATTTTAATGAAATTTTTCAGGACTTATTCAAAAATAAATAAAATTATTTTTTAAACATTTTTTTTTTTTTTTTTTTTTTAGAAAATCTTTGTAAAAATTTATTTTTTTTTGCACATTTAACTTACCACCTTCATTTAATTTTTATGAAATTTCAAGAAATTCTTTTTGAGATCACTTGATGTTTATATTAGTTATAAAAACACTTGATGAAATGTTAGAAAATTACCAATTTTGTCCACCAGGGTAGATTGTTTTAGTTCCATATGCCATGTCTCTCTCAGATATCTCAGTTATCATCCTTTAACTCAACCTGACCAAGTTTTTGTTCACCAGTGTAGTAGCCATGTAATGAACTCACAACTCTTCTAACATTTCCACAAGTGTTTTTATAACTAAGGATAAAATAGAAATTCAATAAAATATTAGATTTAGAATATTTTCCTAAATTTAAGATTACTTGGTAATTAAATAAAAAAGGTGTTCATGTATTTGTCAAGTAATTTTTAGTTATGAACCCCTTACTTAACTTCCCAAACATCAGACTGTTGATAGATCTGTCAACACCTAATAAAAACACCAACTTTGTACTAAAAAGATGCATTTCTACAATATTTTAAACTACATGTAATATTTGTTACAATTCAGATTAATTTTAAACTGATTTAAATCAGATAATTTTTCTTAAATAAAGTTTCAGAAAAATATTTTATTTTTGAAAGATTTTTTTAATAAAGAGAATTACATTGTATTGATATTTGTTAATACGGATGATTTTATAGATTTTACTAATACAAGAGTGGGATGAAAAATTCATAGGCTGTCTATGAAGAAAATGATAGAGCTATGAAAGCTTGCATGCATTAAATTTCCAGGTAAATCAAAATCTTACTGTTCAAAGACATTTAAAGCAACCCGTAGTGACTTCTCTTTGAAATGGACAAAATTTGGCATCATAGGGTTATCAAGTACCTACAGTTTCGGACATTCATGCTGATATAGTTGCAACATTGAGGAATGACATTACAGTTTCATCAACGGCACAAATGTGGGCAGCTGAATTTGGGAGTGGAAGGGAGGGTCTTGAAAATGACCAAAAGTTTGAACATCAAGCAACTGCTACCACAGAGGAAAACATTGACTGTTATTCACATGGTGATGGATGATAAGCGATTGACAATAAATCAAGTAGCCAATGCTATTAGCATATCCTGTGAGAGAGATGAGAATATTCTGCACAATGAAATTGGCATGAAGACTTCTGCAAGGAGGACTAATTTGAAAAATAAATCTCATTTAGTCACATTTCATGAGTAACGTTGAGCCAACCCTTGTAATCATTAAAAAAAAAAAAAAAAAAAATTCAATGAATTTAAATTTGGTTTGAAATAGAGCAAAGTATTTTGCTTATTGGAAAAATTAAATTTAATCTATTAGCTTGAAATTAAAACTAAAATAAAAGCTTCAAGAAAAATTTTCATTTTTTAAGATTCATTTTAAACCTTAGGTATTGCTTTTTTGGAGGTATCTACTTAATTACATTTAGAATTGCCCAGATATCAACAATGAACTGTGGTGGAAAGCAAAAGTCACCCTTGAAATAATGATTATAGTAAAATAGAATTTTGTTTATAGATGGGAAAGATAAAGCTTGTTTGCTTCATCAGATTTATTGATATAACATCAAAACAATAGTGTTTATATGAACTATGGAATACCAATTGGGAAAAAAGGACTGCTCGTATAATCATGAGGGAGAGAGGTTCGTAATCAGGTTGTAATCTAAGTTTTTGCCGCTAACATGCATTTATTTAAGTGAGTTTGTGCAGAAACAAACAGTCGAAGTTTGGAGTTGGGTGAAGTGAGTTGACAAACAGTTTTGGCCGCCAACAATCATACAAGGTGCTACTGTCATAACCTAGTCACCATAATGACAGAATTATGGAGCGGCCATCATGCAAAGGACTACTACCGCTACCGTCTTCACTGCCACCACTCAACATGTCCACTAGATGTTGCTGTAATGAGTCAGTCAGTTGAGAGACAGCTGAATCGAAGTAGCAGTCAATGAGAGAAAGAGAGATAAGCAGTGGGAGTGAAAGCGTCCACTTGCTGAGTGAATTAATTATAGCACTACTAAGAACAAAAAGGGTGAACCCGAAATCCACTTATCTCCTTTCAGAATTATTTGCAATATTTTTTTTCTCCTGGACTTTATTGCATATACGCTACTTTCTTGTAAAGGAAGCATTATTCTGTTGTACCAATTTCTTCCTTATATACATAAATTTTTCTTTGGACTTGAATTGACTTGTTCATGTTTGATTTTTTTTTTGTTTGGCCCGATTCTCGCTCCAATGAAATTGCAGGTAGACTAACTGAATCTTTGGGAATCTACAATTTGTTAATCGCTCTCCAGGATCAAAAATCACAATGTGGCTGGAAAGTGGAATCGAATCGACATTGTGAATGGGAGACTTTGATTTACAGCACCAACAGCTGGTCTTGTAGAGTACTTTGATCTAGTGGGGTCAGGATAGGTGTTACAGAACTATTTATAATACATGTATCCAGAACAATGGCCTAGTGGATTAAAGTATTGATTAAAACATCTTCATTTCCTAGCAGTTGTGGAAATTCAGTCATGGGTTGGATAATGTGGAAAAGTCACATACTCAGGTTCAATGGAAGAAACAGACAAGTCAGACTGGTGATATGAAATATCCTTTGAGCATGGAAAGCAGAATGAGAACAATATACATCATAAATGAATAGTTTCCATTGAAAATTCTAAGTAAATCAAGTATGACAAACAACAGAAAAGACTAGAGTGTACAATAGCAAAAGCTCTATGAATATAACAACCAAGATAAGCATGCTAGTCTGAATAACAAAGCATATAATAATGATAATTCCTCATTTAAAAATTTCAACAATAACGTTGAAGCTATCCAGACACATCTGTCCAGCTAACCCACTTAGGCAAAAGTAAGGCCGAACAGTATAATTTACTAGAAATGTATTAAACCATTCACTGCTAAATTATCTATTGGTTCAACCTCCGCCATGGCCTTATATCTATACCCAGCTGATTTCATTTATAGCAGCTAATTAACAATTGTAATTGTTTTTGTTGTGCTTTTTTTTTTCAATTTATTCTACTCCTCATTCAGATTTAATAGACAACTTTTCTTTTAGTTATTTCTTGACCCCACATCACAGAACAGGATCTTTTATCACTTAATTCACTGGCTACATCGAGCCTTCTTGAAACAGGGAAAGTAACATATCTCAGCAGGTGGAGTGTCATTCTCATGCTGTTACACTCAAACCAAAAATATTAACTTTGGACCATTTCTTCTTTATGCCTTTGATTCAGTTTTATGGCAACTCGGACACTGAATAGAAAAATTCACACAAACAAAACTTGTTGGCCAAATTTAATAAAGCATATTTGAATGAATATATATATAGTGACACTATTTAGCTATGGTAATTGGCTAACTAATTAACCATAGAAATTAAAAACGGGAAATACTTAAGGCAAGAAAGAGCTATACCGTAAGA